GGGGGGGGGGGGGGGGGGGGGGGGGGGGATCGCTAAAGTATGAATCCAGCACCAGAAGTCGTTGAGTGGCTGACTGTCTGTTACTGCTGTTGGATGGCTGTACCTTCGTGTGCGTGTTGATTTTGGTTTCCGTCTACTTTCGGTATTTTGCGTGTTGCGTGACCTGTACCAAGGTCGCTTCTATATGATAGCCGTCCACCTATTGAAGCATTCAATGGTATGTTTTTCGGTGTGGTTGTACGTATAGACCAAAAGAAGTGGTTAACAGTAGATATCAGTGTCGTAGCAGCAGCTGTCCGTGACTGGTCTGATCTCGAGGGAAGACCCAGGCATTGGATAGCCCATAGTATTGCTACACTATAGACTACCGATCGCGGCACGTGATGGCTTGAAGTATTGTTTACGCGTTTTGTTGTTGGGTGGCTGTGTTCGTTGCGACGTGTAGGCAGGCCGCGAGGGACGAAGAAGATAACTCGTTGTTGTGCCGCGTAGAACGAGAGAGAAACGGTACGCCGGCGGTCGGTTGTCTTTCAGTCCGGTACGCGTCCTTTCTCTTGTCCTTCCTCAAAGATATGTGTTTTTTTGCAATCCCTGTCCCCGGCACATGGATGGGAAAGTTGTACCACGCAAAGGCGGCGGCACTGTTTACTGTCTTGGGAGGGCCGGGCTTTTCTCTACATGAGTAGGTCTCCCTCGCCGCGCAAGAGAGGAGCGCCGCCGCATCTTCTGGTGGCTCATGGGCGGCGCCCCTTGTCGAGAAAATGGCCGCTGTGTCGACCTTTCATGGATGGTACGTATGTACATTGGATGCCCGTTTATTTTTCCTTTCCCGTCACTGTCTTGTTTTTGAAGGCAGTGGGTTGTGCGTGCTTTGCCCTCTTGCTGTCTCCTGCGTGGGAATTTATAGCATATTGACCGCCCTGGCCGGCTGACCAACGGACACGCGCACGCGCGGGCGTGTGTCTATTAGAGAATATTCGTACAACTTCGACCAACCGTTGGAGGTATTGCGTGTCATGAACACCCCCCCATTCTCCCCATTTGTGTCGAAGGAGAGCAGACTACTTTGATGCCGGAAGCTGGAAGGTTTACAGAACTGAGGTCGCATAAGAATCAGAATTTGCTTCATGCAGCATGTAGCACGTGAGTTTTAGTAGGAGCTTCACTCTCTCTGACTTCGAAACGTTTACTTGCGTTGTCTACTGGACACAAGACATGGTTGCTCGGACCTTGCGTGGGAGAGAGAGATTTGACGGGTATTGACTTGTGGGTTTTGGCTCGTGACCAGCTCCAGGGCCCATCGGGCTATCGCCATATGCCTGTTTAACTTGTTTGGGTGTTGTGAACTCTCTCCGTGGAGCAAAAACGAGTGATGCCTGCTGCAACTCCTGAATGCCCGCGGCATGTTGGGATCTGCAATCCTCGCACACAACATCCCGTGATGGCCTGTAGGAATCCAATTCATGTGTAGATGGTGTAACTACAAAGCTTAGTATATCGCGGCTTCAAAATGTACGACTCCAACCACAACAAGCGTACTCTGCTGCGCCATGTGACTCAATCAAGTCAAGACAGACAGGGGTGACCTTCCCGGCACCGAAAAACCTTCAGTTCGTTGCAGGAACACACTAAAACGCCTAGATCTGAAGGGAACATTCCTCGCATAGATAGGAAACTGGTGGGTGTCAACCCTCTGCAAAATGACTAGCCCAAAATCGTCCGCGACAGATCACGCGCGGGATGATACTGCAAGCCTCGAACGTGTAGCGGCACCGACGGGCAACATTCCACCAAGGGTGTCAGCTGAAGCATCCCCAGACGTTGATGCAAGGCACGTTGTTATCCGTAGCGCTACCACATAGTTCCGCTCGCCCAAACTTTCCCCAATGATTGTGGCAGCAACCACGAGACCAGTCGTTGGTACCTAATGTAACTGTTGATGCCTTCCCTGGTCGCAGGTCGCTGCGCTCGTTCCCGAGCTGACAAAAAAAACGTCAACGAAAATCTCTCAACACAGTCGTGGCTCCGATATACACAGGGTCGAAGTCAATTGTCACTGACTCGAGTGCTCTCTCATTCCGGAATGAGAAGAGGGGGCTCCGATATAAGAGGGCGGAGAGGGCCTTCGTCACACCACCCTCTTGCCATGTATGTCGGAGCCACGATTGTCGAGAGTATGATACAACATGTAGACTAGTCTACACAGAGTACAGACAACAACAAGGCCAAAGAAACAAACAATACAGCTCAAACGTCAGCAATGACAACAAAAATGTGATCAACCCCCGCGGTTCCTCTCACGGAATCAACCCCTCTCTTTGTTTTCGTTGTGCGATAGTCACAGAGATGAAAAAAAGCGAAAAGAAAAAGGCGAGCTCCGCTCAGATGGCGGCGGGAGCCTTCCCGGCATTGAGAATGGTCCAATACTTGGACACGAACATGTCCTTGGACTTGATGTTTCGCGTCATGAAGTCCCCGACGACGATCCCCATCGGCAGGGACGAAACGCCTCCGGTCTTTCCCACGGGGACCAGGGACACCGGCATCACCGACGGCGCGGCGCTCTTGAGGGGCTTCCCGGCCGCGCTGGCGGCGACCTGCTTGGCCACGCTGTCACCCTCTGCGCCGGCGAGGTAGGCGATTTTGGGAACCGGTAGATCCATGCAGTCTCCTACGGCAAAGACCTTTCCCGAGCCCGGCGCTTCGATCACCTCGAACGTGTCGTTTACCTGTTTGGGTCCGGGGTGACGGGATACAGGATTTGTGAAGTGGTTGGGGTCGACTCAACGGCCGGACGGCTTGGTTCCGGATGAGAGTTCGAGTTGTTTAGACAGTTGGAGCAAGGCGTTCGATCCGGTTGGGGTCGGGGTTAGGGTCTTCGATTCGGGTAGGGACGGAGTTAGGGGCTCGAGAAGCAGGCAAATGTGCAACGAGCAGGACCCGTTCTCGCTTATCTGGCGGCCGGGAAAGGCGGTGGAGAAGCAGACGACAATTCTGGTCTCGGTCCAACCAACAAACAACAAAACGGCGGTGGCAGCGGCAGAAGCAGCAGCAGCAACAGCAGCAGCAACAACATCCATAAAAAAACAGCCTTTTTCTGCGCTACTCTTCAGCAGAAATCGGGGTAGCAACCGCTACGCCTACGACCATCGGTCGAGGAACGGAACCAAACACCAAACACGGCGCTAAAACATTGGGCCTGATACATGTAGAGAGAGGGATGAACACCAACAACGCGCCGAACAGATCGACCTTCCAGACCTGAAGAAAGAAACAAACCCGTACTACTGCTGTACCTTTCAGTTTCGTAGAGAACAACACCGGCTGTGCCCTTCACATCAGCTTCATACCATCAACCGGCCAAGCGTCAGAACAGCCCGAAAAACTTCACCTTAACCTGGCCCCTCTCGTCCAACCAGTGGTGGAGCCCGCTGTCTGCGTATATCGGAGCCGCTTGCGTTGCTCCCGTGCAGACGATGCAGAGGTCGGCCTCGAGCTGACCGCCTGTCCATGAGTAGGTTTTCTCCCCCGAGATGAAGCCGCACGCGTCGATGTCGTCCCTGCTGAAGTTCACGCGCCCGCCGTCCGTGTGCACGGTCACGCCGACCTGGGGTTCATTTCCGCGGATTTTGGGAGGGGGGCGACGGGAAATAATACAGCGTGGAAGAAGGCATGGTCAACGGACGGGAAGTTATCGTGGCCGGAGAGGGCGGACAGGCGTGCTCATGCGTAAAAATGAAATCAGGCAATGCATGCTGAGTGCAGCACAAAACTCTTGCGGTAGTAGCCGGGGTGCAAAACGTTGAGAAACATTTCGCACCGCCTCGAGCTTCTTCCGCAGGCGGGTGCGGAACTTTGCCGGGAAAGCCACGGTGGGCGACGGCATGAGCTCCTTGGAGGTAACGAGGGTCACGCTCTTTCCGGGCATCTCTTCCTTGATCTCTCCGGCTATCTCGATGCCGATGGGGCCGCCGCCGATGACGAGGATGCTCTTGGCCGCCTTGAGCGTGGCGTGGGCCTGCTTGAAGACGGCGGTCTGTCCGGCCACTGTGCCGGTGTTGTTTCCGACGCCGACTGGGGGCGGGGGGGTGTCATGGAGACGATGGGAAGGGGAGGGCGTGCGTACATGTGGTGGATTAAACAAAAGGGGGCCTCTGCAGTTGATCTCAAGCTTGGAAAATAATTGGAGTTGGATGGGCGGCTTCACACGAAGTCTGCTGTGGGATGACGGGAGCCCCTGACACGCCTCTTCGACGGAGAAAGAAGGGCGTTTATCGCAGCCGAGACAATTGACGGGAAGAAAATAATTTTATCCTCGCGCACGATGTACACAGGACCCGTTCGAACATTCTCGAAGATGTGAACCCCCAAGTATCAACCTCGTTGCGTGCTGCCGGTGTTGTTCTCACCGGTGTTGGGGTGGAGAAATCCGGTAGCGAGGACAAGAAAGTCGTACGGCAAGGACTCTCCGGTGCTAAGGGTCACGGTGCACTCGTCGGCGTTGATCCTGGTGGCCTTGCACGTCTTGACGGTCCCGTTCGACAGGCAGTTGGCGTACGGGATGAGCATCCTCGGGGTCTGATCCGGCAGCACGGACGCGCGTAAGCCGTACACGATGTGCCGGAAGGCGTCCCCACCGGTCACGAGGGTCACGTTGAACTTTGCATCGAGGCCCTTCGCGGCCTCGACCCCGGCGTACCCACCGCCGATCACGACGACTTTTTGAGCCATGCTGAGGTAGTGCTTGGTGTTCCTTGTAGTTCCTGTAGGACGAAGGGGGAAGGGAAATAATTATTCAAGCGAAGCGAGATTTCTAATCTTGCCTGAGGAGACAGCGCAATATAGGCTCCATGCAGAAAAAATACTTTGTACAGTTTGTTCGCTAAATCTAGGTTTTGGAGTACATGACGCTGGACTCTCTGTGGTGTGATGAGGCTATGTTTTGCTCTGTCGCGCATGTTTTTGTTTTATCGCCGCGTGCAACTGCCAGCAATGTGAGCACAGCACCACATTAGTTCTCGAAACCTAGGACGCCGATCGCCATCGCACCACTTCGAGCGTGTGCTCCATTGCGGTGTCTCTGGGCGTGATGGCTGTGTTGAGCATGGGTGCTGTATGTGGCGAGAGCACCGTGGCGATGTGAAATCCATTTTGGCTTTTTCGCCCGGCAATGCGGCCCGACGATGCGGCCCGATTGCCCGGGTCAATAAAAACGATTTGGATTCCACGCCGCCACGAAGGTCTTCCCACACACAGCACCCATGCCT